TCAAATTCTGTTAATTTCACCCGTTTTACGTAAAGTGGCATTAAAATACTCTGTGAAAAACCCGAAATTCGCGCTACGCAGTGATTTGTGAAATCTTCTTTTCACTACTGTTTTTCATATCACGGGTGAAACTCTATATCAACCCATATACTCGCCAACTATTGATGGAATCCATGGGGAAATATCGTTGATCTCAGTTCTCATCAATAGAGCTTTCACCGTCCCCTCACCTCCATCGTAGACTGAATTTTAGACAATTCTTCAACCTCGACATAATACTTATCATCACCAGTAGAAAGGAAGTCGCCAAATACAATAGCCGCTTTATCATAGACCTAACAACACGCATTCTCACAAACACAATAGCGCCAATTTCACCTCCTGCTCTGTGATTCCTTGAAAAAGTGGTATTCGCTTCCTACACTGCAAATCAAACCACGCCCTATCTTCATCGTTGATGAGTCTGTCGGCATAAACTCGCATATTTTCATGGCACCAGCAGCGGACGACCACAACCGCATCGCTAACTTTCTTCGGTGACAGCGAACATATACCTACAACGACATTTTCCAAAACGATCGAACCTCACATAAGCTAACCTTGAAAAACCTTCCAAATGTCCCTCAAGTTGAACGTATAATGACTTTTCGCCGGTGTTGGCAGCAACTCCTTATGAACCAATTCGAAAATATCATATGCTCCCGAAACCAACGGGTCCTTCAGCACTTTCACAGAGTCATCAAAGCCCATCAAGAAATACTCAACAATAGTCTTGAAAATCGACTCCACCGAAGAGCGCTGCATATCGATCGCGCATATCATATTATGATGCCTCTTCAGCCGCTCCGTAATGAATGTTCTACCGCCTCCCGGAGGACCCATCGCCGTTATAAATGTTGTATCGATGATTTCCTGGAAGGTGAGCTCCTTACGATCATACCACCCTCCATGGTCGTGCCATTGCCTCAGCAACTCTATGGGAGGCTGAGCACCATAGTACTCCTTCTGCGGCATGTTGAGATCGTCTACGAATATGACCAACTGCTTCCCTGCTGGCGGACCAAACACGCCTCTTCTTCGCTTCTCCGTTTTAGAATCGATCAAATCTTGGAGTTGGTTCACATGAGTTTGTGCGGAGAAGTTGACAAAAACACTTTGATAGTTAGCAGGCGCTTCCTTCTGCAACCACTGCGCCGTATGAATGCTCTTTCCAGTGCCAGTGTTGCCAAAGATCAATACGTGGTTGTTGCCCATCACTAACTTCGCCATAACGTGCGTGAGCTGAATACTGTCGACCGTTGGTACCACAATGGCGTCGTAGGCAGCGTTTCGGGGGATCTTGAACTGAGGCACGATATCTAACCATCTCTTCCACTTGTAGCCAGGAACTTGACTCTCCTCCTCTTCGAATGGACAACAACACCTAATAGAAATGAACAGTTGAGCACCAATACGGTAGCGGCAATGACCTCTATGAAATTCCATGAGACTTTACGGGAAGCACACAGTCAGGATTAGAAGGGATCAGATGAATACGACAAGTTATCAGGTTAACAAACAACTATCATCATTCACCACTACATTCGATGACTGGCAGACGATTCGAATACAGTCCGCTGCTATCCAAACAAACGTGTTTTCAAATTGGCAATCTCTATGAATATATGAAAACTTACAGATTTGTGAAAGAACCATCCACGGCGACCTCATATGAAATTCACTGCTCACACATACCCTTGAATGAAATTTTACGATAAAAATCCATTACGAAAAACTATCCCTTCCCATCACATTTTTCGACCTCAGAGACTCTGTCACGACTATGCAGATGACCCAGCTGTGGTCAAGTACTATTCAAGAAGTTATGTTCTCACTATACATGTAAAGTCAGCCAGATTAGCAGAGATCAAGCCACAGCGACATTATATAAAATTCACTGCTTACATTTCATAAACACAGCCCGTAGTGTTCATCCTCAGCAAGGTTCTGTCGAAGCCCAAGTCCTCGCCATGTTGGATGAACCATTCGCTGAACTTAGGACGACTGGCCGCATCACAAGAGGCTCCAATGGACCAGACGGCACAGAAGAGGAATATATCTTGGAGGTAGCTGGCAGCGAGTTTTGATATGTCTGCATCGGTGACCTTGCGGCCTTCAGTCTCCTCATACTGCTCGAAGAAGCAGTCCATAAGGCGAAAGAAAGAGGACAGCAAGTTGTTATCAACCGTACCTAACATCTCCATCATAGCACAACGGTAGAGCTACTCGCTATAAACCATGCAACCCCGAGTTCAACCCCACCTACTTGCAATTTCACTGGTATTTCTTCTCACGAATGTGATAGCCGGCAAACAGAAGTCCTTCGTCCACCTCAACAAATGCTTCTTGATATCATCCGTAAACCCGCCAGGCAACCTGTCGATCCACGATCTCACCAGAGGCTCCAACCCCAGCGCCGTCGGCTCCATAAACACCATACCACACCGACTCACTGTGGCCGGCGAGGCCACTGCCAAGTCCTCTACTTCGAAAATCATCCGTACCTCCGGAGTGAGGGAGATGATCTCGCCACTCGTTAGACAAAGCTTCTTATTGTCATCCAGTACAGTGTTCATCGATTCGATCCACAAGGCATCCACCGGTCCATCAAAGATGACCCATTGGTTATCCGAGCTCCCCGACTTATTATTATTCACTGCTCTTCGCAGCAGCTCCGATGCGATCCCATCGCTCCACTCGTGAGTAACCTCATCAAAAGCACCATACAACT